GAGATTTGAACAGCCGAACTGCAGAACTGCAGTCAGCTGAAGTAGCCTGCAGTGCTGCATTTAAGCACTGCGCCACCTTGGCCAAAAATGCTGCATTCAGTGTATAAGACGCACCCAGATTTTCAGCCTCTTTTTTTTGAGGGAAAAAGGTGCGTCTTATACTCCGAAAAACACGGTAATGTTCCTATCCAGGTTCCAGGCAATACATCCCTTTCAATAAGAACTTCACCATCCAAGGACAACGTTTACCCAGTGATACGCAGATGCCTCTCTTGGTCAGCTCCTGGATCACTTCACCACTGCGTTTTATCTCAGGGGCTAAAGTGACAATCCGGACGCAATCCAGGCTCCCATACATGGCCAGCAAATCCTGAAAGGCTCCCGACTCAAAAGTACGGAGGCAATTTTCTGGGTGAGCCCCCTTCTTCTCTTTGCTGATGAAGGGACCCTCCAGATGAATCCCTGCCAGAGGAAAACGAAAACAAAAAGACATCCAAACCTCTGAAACAAGATGAGGCAAGGTTGTCTGGACCCTTGAAGAGTTTAATATGGATCCTACGACAAACTCCAACTGAAGTTAAGGTCTGTAGTCAATTTCCAAATCTCCAAGACCTTAGCCATGATGATCTGGAGTAGCGATCAACAACTGGTGGATCCGTGGACCACTGGTGGTCCATGAGAAAATTTTGGTGGCCCGCAGAAAAATTATTTGCATTTTTAATATTGCACTAAATCAGGGGTCCTCAAACTACGGCCTCTGGGCTGGATATGTGCAGTGAACGCTTGTGTTGCTGCAGAGAGTCTCCCCCTTCGGGGTCTTTTTGTGTGGGTCGGAGGGGGGCAGAAATTCCGCCTTGGGGTCTGCTTCAGCCTCCTGGTGAGGGGCTTTGGGCGAAGGCTGGAGGGAAGTGTCGCTGGTGGTGAAGAGCCAGAGGGCCTCGTTCCAATTGGACTGCATCATTGTCTGGAACTGGCTGACCATCTCAGCCTGCTCCAGGTGCCGGTACCTGGCCCCGCACTCCCACAGGTCTTCCCTCTGCTTGGATAGCCAATGCTCGTAGTCCTCAGTGAGGTGCTTCTGCTTAGCTCTCCTTCTTGGTCAGATTCAATTTGAGCTGAGCTGTTTTGTCAACTCTTTCTCCTGGTGGCTGCTTAGCTCCAGCAACTGCTTCCTGTTGGGGCCCTAAGGAGCGCGGGCAGAGAGGCTAGGAGTAGCTAGGAGGGGAGGGGCGAGTAGAGGCCGGTGAAGTGCCCTCAATGTGAGTGACATTGAGTTGGCCATGCCCACCCAGCCACATGACCATCTAGCCACACCTACTCAGCTGGTCATTAGGCAGATCATATTAGTGGTCGGCAGGATTTAAAATTATGAATGTAATGGTCCCTGTGGTCCGAAAGGTTGGTGACCATCGATCTAGAGCATTTGAGCCTACATATAATTGTGGCCGCAAGAATAACCTATGCNTGGGAACAGGCTCCAGCTGTTCCTCTGCCTCACTGATGTCTGACTCTGAAGGCAGCTGATAACTGGCATACGGCCCTGGCCCCCTCTCTGCCTCCAACACAGAGCCCTCGTCAGAGCCTTCCCCAGACTCCAGGACTGGCCCAGGTTCCTCCCCAACCTCCTCATTGTCTGAGTCTGCAACCAGTTCCACTGGCGGCTGGCGGGCTACAACACCGCCGAATTCCCCAGCTAGGGAATCCCCATGTGGGAATTGAACCTCTACTTGTGGACCTCATCTTTCACGCCTGACACTGAGTCATTGCGAGGGTCGCCCTTTGGGGGGGCTTACAAATAAACCCCCAGCAAATCTGGCTCCTTGGAAGAGGGCAACTCTCTGTCCTAGTAAGCCAGACTCTCCTTACCGGTGGCATGCATGAAATGCCGGATACAGGTGTCCATGGTGGAGATACTTCCACTCAGTGTTTTGGTCCCTGGAAAGAGAAGGAGGAGAAAGCTGATCAGCCTTACGTGCAAAGACAGTTGGATAGGGGATGATGGGAACTGTAGTCCATTTCACAGCTTTGCAGACACCTTCAGGGTCTCAGGGAAGAGCTTAGGAGGAAAAAAAAATCAGCTACCTGTTTGAGTGGCTAATTAAGATTTCACCCTAGGAGTGCCCTTACCTGCAATGTAGGCATTTGCACCTTCTACCTCTACCACCAGCTGGCCCAGAGTGTGTCTGCCAGGGGGAAGTCCCATTGCTGGGATAGCATCTGTCACCAGGATCAGACCTAAGGAGGGATAATTTGAGCCTGTTAATTCTACCTGAAAACAACTTCAGTGTTGCACCAAATAGCAATAGCGCTTAAGACTTATATATCGCTTTACAGCCTTCTCCAAACGGTTTTTACAGTCCGCCTCTTGCCCCCAACAATCTGTGTCCCCCTTGGAAGGATGGAACCTTGAGCCTGGTGGGATTCGAACTGCCAAACTGCAAGCAGCCAGCAGTCAGCAGAAGTAGCCTGCAGTACTGCACTCTAACTACTGCGCCACCAAGGATCTTATGGTTAGTTAGGTTCTCAGGTATCCCAATGAAGGGACCCAGCCATCTGCAGCTTATGTAGGATATATAAACATGGTCACAGTGGTGTCTTCAAACCAACATTAAAACAAACCATGACTTACTTTGTGTTCCCTTTGGCCAGCAGTCTCGGAAAAGCAGTTACAATCCATCATTAAAAGCTTCAAGCACAATAAAGCCCCAGGTGAGGACTTTTTACCACCAGAATTATTCAAGAAAGTTCCCAATTGGTGGGGTCCAGTCTTTTTACACATAGAAATAACACCTGCCATATACCAGATGGGTGGAAGATGGCAATAGTTGTCCCCATATATTAAAAAAAAGGAAATAAAAAAGATCCCTTCCCATCTCATTGTCCCCCTTGTGGAGACAGACCTTGAGACTTCACCCTGCCAACAAAAGTGTGTCTAGTCAAGGCTATGGTTTTCCCAGTTGCAATGGATGGCTGTGAAGGTTGGANGGCTCTGCATCGGAGGCAGAGAGGGGAGCTAGACAGCAGTGAGGCAGAGGAACAGCTGGAGCCTGTTCCCAGTGTGTGCATGTGCAGAGCTGCCAAAAGACAAGAACAACTAAGAAAGCAGGGTCAACTTAAGAGTAAACCCACACTTTGAAGGTGATTGGCCCCTCCCAGAGGAAACAAAAGAGGAGAGAACGGGGAGTGGGCTTTTGCAGAAAACAATTCATTCATTCGGATTGGCAAGTTTTGTGTTTGACTTTAAGACACTGTGTGCCAAGTTTGCCTTGCCCTGCGTTTGGAAACTAGTTATCTGGCACCGCACCGCTCCAAGAGAGATAAGGTGCGTGGGGATAAATATTCCTCTGAAAGGCTGTTTACTAAGCCTTGCTGACTGTGAATGTAAGGAATTCAGAGTCGTGTAAATAAAAGAGGTTTTGCAGGGGCCAAGACTTAGTTTCTTGCTTTCTGAGGAAGCCTGGGTCAGAACAAATATAGGAGAGATGGACCCAACTCTTTCAGCCAACCCCAATTGAAATGCACACAATTCGTTAAACTACACCTCCCATAATTCTTCATTCAGCAGAGAAGGAGAAGGCAGATGGGCCTCTCCAAGGAGAGAATTCCACGAGTACCACAGGCAGGAAGATTGCAATCCTTGCATCACACCTAACATCTAAAGAGTGGAAGGTGGAACAAAGAAGATAAAGAGGTTTGTGGTTTGGATTTCCACCACCCAGAACCTCTGAAGCAGTGAAGGTGTTGCTGGACCAAGATCAAAAAGAATGAGATCCAATCAAATTCTCTGGGAGACTTTAGCCCAGCCTCTTATTTTCAGCTCAGCTTATGTGTCAGGATTCTGAATGGATTCCACGTTGAGCTGGAGGCAGTGCGATCCGAATTCAATCCTTGCAAGAGTAAAAAATACCTGCGTCGGTGTCGTAATCCAAGGTCCCCTTTTGATCCTCGATATTTAAGAGCTGAGCAGGATGGAGAGAGGCAGCCTCCAGGGCCGCTTCTAAGGAACAGGCTGCAAAATAGAAATGGAGGTTGCTTTTTAGTTAGAATCCACAAAGGCAAAGGGTTCTTCAACTCTTATCCATTCTACACCCCTTCTGAACAGACAGGAGAATCTGTGATTGACTGTGTCTCTACACAGGTGTTTCTAAACCAGTGGTAGTCAACCTGGTCTCTACCGCCCACTAGTGGGCGTTCCAGCTTTCATGGTGGGCGGTAAGGGTATGCTGTAACTCTGCTTTATAAATTTTATAAAGTAAAGTTACTTCCCTA